AGCGGGGGCAAAAGTTTGGGTTAAAATTTTGACTCGAGAAATTGACGACTTTGAGGAGCTATGAACGATACTCACTCATTTGTGTGAATGAGAGTATGTTAGTTTATTGTTTGTTTGAAAAACACCAAATAAGAGGGTGGTTATATATCTTACCATAAATATTAGTAATTAGTCCTATATGATTCTATACTACGTTATGCGGGTAGCAAAAGGAACAACGGAGAAATAATATAGATAGTCATCATCTCATTCTTCCTCAAGTTTGTGTTGTTGTTTAGCTTCGGGATAATAAACAAGTTTGTGTTGATGTTTAGATTCAAGATAATACAGGGGGGCTTCCCTCTTGTTGAATGGTTCGGCTACCCTCCATTCATTAGTCAAGATGCATGTGGAAAATCCTAGATCTCTGCCAGTTATATCTAAACTGTTTACGATTATAACTGACATGGTAAGATATATTTATTTTTGATGCATATTTATGATTTTTTGATGACAGGATTGGGTATGTTTCTTTTATTGAAATTAAACTTGATTTTGGATCAAGCTTAATTTTTGGGTTTATGATGGAATTATTCTAAGTTTGACCAAACCCAAAATTAGGTCCAAATTCTAGAGGTTTTCTAGAAACACTCTAGAAGGTTGATCACCTTCTTAAAGTGTTCTAGAGAAATCTTTAAGCTAAATATCTAGATAATAGTATATAAACATCTTGATAATTTGTGATAAAAATATTTAGATATTATGTAGAAATTTCTAGAGATTAGAAAAATATCTAGGAACTATGGAGGTGATATTAGAAGAATCTAGATCCTTTGTAACATATCTTTGGGAGGCTATAAATACCTCCTCACCTCTCTCATTTGTAAGGAAGAAGAAAAAGTTGAACAAGTGAATAAAACAAGTTCAAATAAAGAGTCTTCCTCTTCATAAGTTCTCTACATTTCCCTAAAAGTCTTTCATGTGTTCTTTAAGTGTTCTTCATATTCTTCTTCATACTTAGAGGTTTATTCTCTTGGTTTCTTTCAGGTTTCTCGGGTATTACGGTCTTTGGCTAGTGCTAAGCACTATCGGTGTTATCTTTACATGGTATCAGAGCCATTCTAATCTTGTGCTCTTCAAGATCGGGGTTTAAAGAGAGCTCGGGTTTACTCTAAGTATGGAATCAATGGGTCGTGTCGTTAGATTGGGAATGAAGATCTTAAACCAATCTAACTACCGGTTATGAAAGTCATGTATGGAGTCATACTTGGTTAGTGAGGACTTATGGGATGTCGTCGGCGGTAGCAGCACAACACCACCAAGGGGAGATGCTGCAACAGCGGAAGCGACAAAGGAGTGGACACGGAAGAATGCCAAGGCGGAGTTTGCTTTGAAGAGGTCAATATCTTCAGGACTATTTGAGCATGTCTCAAGATGTACATCCGCAAGTGCTATTTGGCAGGCACTAGATCAATTGTTCAACAAGAAGAACGAGGATCGTCTACAACTGTTAGAGAACGAGTTGGCGAATTCGAAGCAGGGGGAGTCTTCAATCTCAGAGTTTTTCATCAAGGTAAAAAATCTTTGCTCTGAGATTAATACTCTCAATCCGGAGGAGTCGATTTCGGAAGCACGGTTGAAGCGGTCTATTATTCGTGGTGTACGACCCGAATATACACCGTTTGTTACTTCAGTTCAAGGATGGGCTACACAACCTTCCTTGGAGGAGTTTGAAAATCTACTAGCTTCGCAAGAATCACTAGCCATGCAAATGGCGGGAGTTAAAGTCCATGATGACTCGGGGAGCGCTTTTGTAGCGGGGAGACAACAAAGCTTCAGAGCAAAACCCAAATATGGTAATGTGAAGAATAATGATTGACGAGAAGGATCTTCTACGGGAGACAAGAAGCGATTCAAGTGTTATCGGTGTGGAAAACTTGGGCATTTCAAAAAGGATTGTCGAGTCAAGCTGAAGGAAACAAATATGACGGAATCAAAGGGTCATACTGAAGAAAAAGAATGGGGAAAATGTTTCACGGTGGAGACTGCATCTTCAGGTACATCTACAACTAAAAATCTTGGAAATGATTGGATTGTGGATTCTGGTTGTAGCCATCATATTACCAGAGACGAGAAGTTATTTTCTAGTCTTCAGCGTCATGACGGGAAAGAAGCCATCATTACTGCGGATAATTCAATCCACCGCGTTGAGAAGGAAGGGACAGTCGTTATTGAAGGAGATGATGGAAGCCCAATCACTCTCAAGAATGTATATCATGTTCCTGGAGTAAGGAAGAATCTTCTCTCTGTGGTGAATGCGGTTGACTCAGGTAACTATGTTTTATTTGGCCCAAGAGACGTTAAATTCTTAAAGAATATTAAAGAATTAAAAGCGGATGTGGTTCACACCGGAGCACGGGTTAAGGATTTATATGTTTTATCGGCCTCAAATTCTTATGTTGAGAAGATGAGTACGAATGATAATGCCTTTATATGGCATGCTAGGCTTGGTCATATAAATATGACTAAGCTAAAGGTTATGGTGAATAAGGATTTGGTTAACGGGCTCCCAAAGTTGAAGATTCATGATGAAGGAAAGCTTTGTGAAGGCTGTCAATATGGAAAGTCACATAGGTTTCCATTTGACAACTCCACTTCACGATGTAGCGCTCCGTTGAAGAGGGTCCATAGTGATTTGATGGGTCCGACGAGAACATCCTCCTATTCTGGGTTTCGGTACATGTTACTATTTGTTGCTGACTTCTCACGGTACACTTGGGTATACTTTGTGAAGGAAAATCAGAAGTATTCTCCAATTTTCAAGAATTCAAGGTTAACGTGGAGGGAGAATTAGGTCAGAAGATCAAGACTTTAAGGACGGATAATGGAGGGGAGTTCATGTCAAAGGAGTTTCTCTCTTTTTGCCAAAAACATGGTATCAAGAGAGAATTTACATGTCCGTATACACCTCAGCAAAATGGAGTAGCGGAAAGGAAGATAAGATATCTAAGCGAGACATGTAGAAGCTGGTTACATGACAAAAATTTGCCTAAGGCCTTATGGGCGGAAGGCATGAGATGTGCAGCGTATGTCATCAACCGGATGCCACTTAGTCCGAACAATATGAAGTCTCCTTATGAGATGGTTCATGGGAAGAAGCCAACGGTGAAACATCTCAGGATATTTGGATCAATCTGCTACGTCCACGTGTTTGACTCTCAAAGAACCAAGTTGGAGGCAAAGGCGAAGAAATGCATCTTTGTCGGCTATGATGAACAAAGGAAGGGCTGGAGGTGTATGGATCCAGAGACACACAGGTACACCGTATCTCGTGATGTTGTCTTTGATGAAGTTTCCTCATTTTATGGGCCACCTCAAGTCTTGGTCGAACAAGAAGGTGAGGGTTCCTCCAAGATCGATGAACTAGTTGTTCAAATGCCAAGTGAAAGCGGAAGTCTTGAAGAAGAGACGCAAGGTGAAAGGGGGAGCACTGATCAAGAGGAAGATGAGGAAGAAGATCGTAGTTCCATGGCTAATCAACGGCCAAAAAGGAACATTGTTAAGCCTGCTCGGTTCAGAGATGAAAGGTTTGTCACTACTTACTCATGCTACTTTGCAGCACCATTAGATGAAGAGGAGCCATCATCGTATGATGAAGCAAAAGAAGTTCAAGAGTGGGAGGGCGCAATGAAGGAGGAGATGAATGCTCTCATGAAGAATGAAACTTGGGATTTGGTTCCAAAACCCATGGATGTCCAACCCGTTTCTTGTAAATGGGTGTACCGAATTAAGCAAAAAACAGATGGGAGCATTGACAGGTTTAAGGCAAGGTTGGTTGCTCGAGGGTTCTCTCAAAAATATGGAGAAGATTATGATAAAACATTCAGTCCAGTGGCAAAGATGACTACGGTACGCTCACTTGATAGAACAAGTCACTACCAAAGGCAGAAGGTGCTTGATGGAACAATTGAAGCTTTGGAGGTTCGAAGCGAAGACAACGTTGCAGATATCTTCACCAAGTCACTACCAAAGGGCCAATTTGAGTTACTTCGCTCGAAGCTCGGGATGGTTGACAAAATCAAGTTTAAGGAGGAGTTTTGAAATTAAACTTGATTTTGGATCAAGCTTAATTTTTAGGTTTATGATGGAATTATTCTAAGTTTGACCAAACCCAAAATTAGGTCCAAATTCTAGAGGTTTTCTAGAAACACTCTAGAAGGTTGATCACCTTCTTAAAGTGTTCTAGAGAAATCTTTAAGCTAAATATCTAGATAATAGTATATAAACATCTAGATAAATTGTGATAAAAATATTTAGATATTATGTAGAAATTTCTAGAGATTAGAAAAATATCTAGGAACTATGGAGGTGATATTAGAAGAATCTAGATCCTTTGTAACATATCTTTGGGAGGCTATAAATACCCCCTCACCTCTCTCATTTGTAAGGAAGAAGAAAAAGTTGAACTAGTGAATAAAGCAAGTTCAAATAAAGAGTCTTCCTCTTCATAAGTTCTCTACATTTCTCTAAAAGTCTTTCAAGTGTTCTCTAAGTGTTCTTCATATTCTTCTTCATACTTAGAGGTTTATTCTCTTGGTTTTTTTGGGGTTTCTCGGGTATTACGGTCTTGGGCTAGTGCTAAGCACTATCGGTGTTATCTTTACATCTTTTTGATGTACATAGTCTAGAAGTAGATCACGTGCTTCCTTATAAATCATCCAGATTCAACATATTTGATAATGTATTGCTATTTTCGTGGGACAGTGTGTTTTTTGGTATTTTTTTGGGGTTTATATTTTTGGATTGCAATATGAACCCGTTTACAACTTAAAAATCTCACACTTACAACTTATGCATAGATCACTGTACGTCACTGACTGCAACTAGAGACTTCTTTGCAAGTACATTCATAATTGCGTTTTTAGTTGCAATGAAGCAAACAGCTACATGTTAGCAACACAATGGGAACTTAAGCACAGATCAACAATAGAACAGAAGAAAACAAGAGAATCAATCACAGAGACGCGGAGAATTTACTAGATTCAACAATCAATGCGATTGTCTACGTCTTCAAAGTACAACTAGATCATGATTCTACTAATAACCATAAATGATTACAGCCTCTCTATCCCCCCTCCCTGCAGCCCTAATCTCATTTCTACAGGCTTTATTTTTCCTCTTCTGAATATAAAAGAATATAGTCGGCTCAGGGTGCGTACTTATAGCAAAGGTATTCAATCTATAGGGAGAAAAAATACCCTCACTGTACGATCATGTGCTAAAATTTTCTTCCTTGGACGCTGTCCTCCCGGTCCTCATTCCAGGCGCAATTTTATAGGTGTCCAATTTATAGGCGTCCAATTCTATTCGAGTACTTGTACAAGCAAAAGCTCACAACATGAAAAGATTGTTCTTACAGTGCACCACTGCCTATCTTTTTATAGACATAAGACTGAGCAGAATACATGTAGATCACAAACACTACCGCGCTGAGACCAGCCAGGAGCCAGTAGTAGTAGTCAAGATGTGCATGGTTCAGATTGTTAGAGAACCAACTTTCACCCGCACTCTTAGTTACTCCATCAATAACAGACACAAGGAAACTACTAATAAAGTTTCCAATACCAAATATGCTAAGATAGAGAGCAAGCCCAAGGCTTTTCAGTGCATCAGGAACCTGATCATAGAAAAATTCTTGAAGACCAACCATAGTGAACACATCACAGATGCCAAGGAGAATATACTGAGGGACCAACCACCATATACTCATTGGAATCATGACGTCTGGTCGATCAATAAGCCCAAATTCTTGGGCAGTCTTGAGTCTTCTAATCTCGACTAGAGCTGATACCACCATCAATGTTATGGAAACAATAAGTCCCGTCCCTATCCTCTGAAGAGGAGTAAGACCCGATGGTCTTTTGGAAATATTTCTGGATATTGGTACTATGATACGAGCATAGATTGGGATAAAGGCGAGGATTGCAACACAAGTGAGGCTCTGGAGTGCCGCCGGTGGGACTTGGAAGGTTGAACCGATTCTCCTGTCCATTGTGGCTCCTTGTTTGGTAAAGAAAGTTGGAGATTGTGCGAAAACGACTGCATAACCTAGGCAAGTTGCCCATATTGGAAATAATCGGAGCACGCCCCTCGCTTCCTCTGCTAGTCTAATGCTGAGTTCATCTCCATGTTCATTGAGCCTGCTTGAAGAATGGTTTTGTTGAGAATACACAAGTTGGTCAGAAAGGAATAAAGGCATAATCATCGCAATCGTTTATATTTTACGATTATTTGAAGATGCATCACCTATTTTAGGGGTTTAGCTACTTAACAATCATTTTATATTTTATTAACAGTTAGCGAATATCAAATATGTAATTCTGATCATCACGTGATTCTCATTGGAGTTTAAACACTAAATGGAAAAGTATTATGCCTTGACAGGGTCCAGGAGGCGTATGGGGTATGTGTATCTACAAGTAACCCAAATTTTTAAGAGGGATTTGAGATTTTATCCGATTCTCACACTGTTTAAATTTGATGTCTACATGTTGCTTCTTTCCCTGACACTTTTTGTCTTATGAGATATGCTCTACTGTATAACTCTAATACTACTTGATTTGAAACTTCATTGTATTTTGGATGAGAAATGCCTTGACCCTTTCAGAAAAAGAAGAAACAATAACATTAACAGGTTTAGAAAAGATTTGGATGAAACACTGATAAGCTAAATAATGTATAAACATGGACTAGGAATCTAAATTATGAACACTCTTACTTGGACTCATCGTCTCCATGCAGATGTCGGCTTTCTCCTTCCTTTGTTATGAAATTGCTTTTTATAAGAATGGTGAATGTTCTGCCAATTCTTACAAATGGACTCTCATCTTCCAAGAGATAGTACCGATAAGATTTTGTTCCCATCAAGAAGACTGCCAGAGCTATCACCATCAGAATGCAAGGTATTCCAAACCCCAGGCCCCAACTGATGTTATCTTGAACATAAGTTAAGACCAAAAGTGAGACCATCATACCCGCATTCATCCCAAAATACCACCAATTGAAGAAAGAACTCCTCGATATACGCTCCTGAGGATCACGCTCGTCGAACTGGTCAGCACCAAATGCCTGAACACAAGGCTTATGGCCACCTTGAGCAAATGCCACGAGATATAGGGAGAAGTAGAATAGTATGACCTGAAGTTGTTTGTTGAGGTTCGGCAAAATTGCGGATAATGTCAGCAAGCCAAGGCCCTGTTATAGGTAAAAGTTAGAAAGTAGAAATTTTCATTTAATCTATAACTTTCATATATATGAACTCCAGAGCAGCTGCCTAGCATGGATATGCTCTTTTAGTAAAGAGAAATGCCAAATTATGACGCCTAGGATTTCATTTGCCAACCAATTTGTAGCATCAAAATAATACCAAAAAGGTAGTGCAACTAGCATTGTCCTTCATTAAACTAAATATACTTACAGCCCCTCAACACCCAAAAATGAGATGTGCACCAAGCATTTTGCAAGGATATTAATTCCTATCAGTTATTGTCGTAAGCTAGCTAAGTGTACATATATACACCCTCTCCAATGAATGGGGATCCTAATAGAACCATCCCTGTAGAAGCGGGTGATTTGCACCATAAAAAGAGCTAAAACTCCCAAATTAAGAATGGCATAGATCATCCCAATTCTATGGGATTGTTTCAACAGAATATCTATTACTTTCATCAGTTAAAATATGCTACAAACATAGGAAAATGGTAACAATACTACAGGAATTGTAGACAATAAGAAACAAAAGTGTGAAGTCTATTAGAAACATATGATTTCTCAATTCCCCTTGCAATTCCGAAGAAAGGATACGCCAATATACTCTTGTCATTGCTGCTAATAAAAAGAACACTGGCTTGCTTTCATATGCATGTTGAATACTTTGGATATGGACTTTCATAAGCAAAAGGATATGATACAAATAAGCAAATGCATGATGGCAAGAAAATGGCCGAAGCACAATGTACAACACCGACGCAACAATAATCACAATGTAGTGTCCGAGATATGCATGGGCGACGAAAGCGCCAAGGAGCAGAAAACCTTCCCAAGCCCAGTGTTGACACCAATGGCAGCCATGGAGGTAGACTCGCCAAGGTGATCAGTGAGATACGTGATCAGGTTCTGTGACACACCGCATCAGGTTCTGTGACACACCGCAGATAGTGGACCTCTCAGCTGCCTCGATTCTGATGATGAAGATAGCGGAGGTCCAGCATGACGTGTTGAAACTGGAAAAGATTCCAGGAAGTAAGAATCCAGCAGATATGTTAACAAAGACGATGACAGTACAGAAACTGGAGTTGTGCGCAACTTCAGTTGGCCTTCATGCATAGATGATGAGGGCGGAGCCACACAGGAGAGGAACTTGATGAGATAGCCCGTCGGCGTCGGTTTGGTCTCCAAGTGGGAGATTGTTAGTTTTGGGGATGGATTCAAACCTCCGACGGCGGAGAAGCTCCGACGAGCTCCGACGAAGCTCGAAGCCCAGGCAAGGTTGTCGACGACCAGATGCAGGCGAAGCTCTCGAGCAGGCGAGCTCGAGTTGGCGATCTCCAGGCGACTTCGAACAGGCAAGTTGAGGAGATCAGACGCAAACCTCGGGCGAACGCAACCCTCGAACTTGGCGTTTTTTCTTCGACCTCGGCGTTTGCCCCCACCTTTGCGTCCGTGGGCCGCTGGCGACAGGCTGTCGCCAGCTCATCCACCTCGCCTATAAAAAGGCCCCTAGGGTTTCGCTGCTGAGCTACTGAGCCTTCCCCCTTCTCCGATTTTTCTTCCCTGGCGGCGGCGGAAAACCCCCAAATCGCAGCTGCGGTTTTGTTATTAAATCCCAGCATTCAACAGTGGTTGAGGGGATTTAAGAAGAGAGAGAAGAAAAAGAAAAGAAGGTTTTTTTATTGTGGGGTTATTCTTTATTCTCAAGTGAGAATTGAAGGGGTTCATACCCTTTAATTATTAACGCTGTAGCTACAGTGTTTATTTGAGAAATCTCAGTTTTGAGATCTGCTCCTAAATTGTAATTTCTTGTTTATTATTTGAGAAATCTCAGTTTTGAGATCTGCTCCTAAATTGTAATTTCTTGTTTGATTAATAAAAAATTATCTGTGTGGCTCCCGAGGACGTAGGCAGTTGCCGAACCTCGTAAATCTTGGTGTATTTTTCTATACTGCGTTTCTGTTGCATTAGGGGTTTCAGCGTTAAATTCCAAACAATTATGAGGAGGGACAGAGCTTATAATTTATGTGATTCGGTTGTACTACAAGTTGACACCTATAGAAGAAGACAGTACTATGTTTCCAGTCTCAACTATTGCAATTTGACAGTATGATGCTCGAATGTTCACAAGGGACGAAACACAGAGCATGATTCACGCTCTAAGCGGTCAAGGGGCTAATCAAGGATATTTCTTTTTAAAGAAAATATCTTTTTTTTGTGAAGATGTATATTCTTTTCTTTTAGATTATACTTTACGACCGCACAAGAATTCGAAATTCATATGTACTTTAGCTAGTTAACGAACCTTCCTAGCTTGAAACGGGAAATAAAGAGATAAAATACAATATTGATGGTAACAAAAGAGTACAGGAGAGAAATATAGTGCCTATACAATCATAATTTCATATAAAGTACACAAAATTTTCAAATTTATCTGAAATTTTTACAAAGTTTTCACAAAATGCCATTAGGTTTAGTTAAATTCAGGAGTTTAATTAATTTAATTACGGACAAATTAATTTAATTAATTAGAGCGTTAATTTAAAAGAGTACGTTTTACTCTTTTACCAGTACGTTTAACAGTGTTAGGGGGGTTGGTATAAAATTTTGAAAATGTTTAAGAATTTCCTGAAACAATCCAGACTTACAGGTCAAGACTGACATTTTTAATGTTTGGAGAAGATTATCTCAAAATCAGCCAAACTTAAGGGTGTTTTATACCCTTTCTAAATTAAATAAGTTAGACCAAAGATTCATTGAAAGGTAAAATTAAAAAGAGAACAAATTGATGGACAGAGGACTGATTACAATGATAAGAAACCCATCAAGAGGGTGGCAGGGTCTTTTCACCACTTACATCAGCGGGCCCATAGCATGGGACCCTTAAAATAAAAGACCCAACAAAGGGTTACATGCACTTTAATATCTTAGCTTCTGATATTTTAAATTTCTATTTTGACAATTTAACACCCCAGATCGAAAAAAAAAAAGAAAAAAAAAAGAAATGACAATAATTCTATTTGCCATGGGATAGTGAGGAACAAAGTTTTTTAGCAAGGAGAAAGTGAGGAACATAGTTTAGGACTCTGGGCATAAAATCATCAAAAATAAATCTCAATGAAAATGTTTTGAGATATTAAATTGTCAAAGTAGGCCTTCAAGAATGAAGATATCAAAGAATTAGCAACTTATAAAAAACTTCAGGGTATTAAAGTGCAAACAAAAGGAAAGGAAAGGAAAAGGCCAGATCCGAACCAAAACGTAGAACAATGACGCAACGGCTATTGTCCAGTACCGACCAAAATAGGAATCTGCAACAAAAGCTCCGAGCAGCGGCATCATCTGAGAAACTCCATACCAAGTGTTAACCCCCGCCGCCGCCGACGCTGTAGACTCGCCGAGGTCGCCAGTGAGGTACGTTATCAGGTTCAGCGATATCCCATAGTACGAAGATCTCTCCGCCAACTCCACCCCTAAATAACTTACAGGTTTTTTATTGATGGAGAATCATGAATTGATTGAGGCTGAGATGGGTTACCGATGATGAAGAGCGCGGATGTCCAGCCGCCGGTGGAGGATCTTGAGATCGGACGGCTGCGGTGGTCCACGGCGGAGGTTGGCCGGTGGATCAGAGGATCTGAGTCCATTTTGGGTTCGGTTTGCTCTTCCCTCTTGTCCTTTTCTGATGAGACAGGGATAGAAGAGATCCGTTCGAGCTTAAATAACTGGCAACTGCCGTCGTGTTCCCTTTTGTTTTCAAGAGTAGAAAGTGAACTAAGACGTGACAAGCTAGAGAAGTTTAATTTATCGAGTTGACAAGACTCACCGATCGTCATATTTTTGGACTAAAGGGGCTGTTTGTTTGCCTAGAAAAAAAAAGTGAGAAATCAAAGAATAGGAAATCTTGTATTATAGTCATTTGCTTGGCTAGAAAAAGAAAGAAATCAAAGAATAGGAGATGAGATGAGATGAGTTGTTACCATATTATTGGATGATGTGAGTGGTTTTTTAAGAAAACTTGTTTTGAGATTGTTTGGTTGGTTAAAAAAATAAGGAATGTATTATAAGAAACTTATTTCCTATAATAGTTTCTTTCTTGTGTTTGGTTCATTCTTAAAAATAAGAAAATAGATGAGATGAGATGAGTTGTTTGTATATTATTGGATGATGTGGCCCACACTTAAGAAAATTAATTTCCTTGTTTTTTTTAGGAAATTGGTGGAAATAAAATGTTAATGAGATGAGATGAGTTATCACCATATTATTGGATGATGTGGGTGATTTTTAAATATGAGATGAGATGAGTTGGATGATGTGACTCATTTCTTGTGTTTGGTTTATTTTTAGGAGATGATATGAGATGAGTTGTTGGATGAAAATAATATTTTCTTGGATAAAGTGGATGAGTTGTTAGATAAAAATAATATTTTATTAGATGTTGTGGTGAGTTTTAGGGATGAAAATGGAGGAAATTGATGTTTTTGAGTCCATGACCCAATTTTCTATTCTTGATTTTTAGGAAACCAACCAAACAGCCCCTAAGATATTCTCTACTGCAAAATAAAAATAAAATAGCCGAGCACCACTATACTATTATAACTATGGAGTATGTACGATAAGTTTCAGATATTTTTTTAAGTGCAAATTACAAATGAGTGCAACGTATGAAGATATAACAAGCAATAGATTTAGAATAAATTAGAATTACCCACTAAATAATCAATCTCACAAAGTATGGCTACTTGGAGATAACTGATTAGAATACATCATTTACAATCAAACATGGATTACTCGACTATCCTAAAATGAAGATTGCATGAATCTACGATTAGACTGCGAAATTAAAGTGAGTAGCTGGCTGGATTTTGTGAAACCCCTATATATTTGATGATGGTGAAGTAGAACGAGCTCACACACAATCAACCAAAACTAAATTTATTTTATTATCCTGTTATTTTCACTTTCTATTGCCGTTTAGTTATCTTGTGGACTTGCTGCCTTAGTTGTAGTCGAATTCATAGATAGTTTATGAGAGAATTTCTTTACTTTAGCGCAATTTACTTTCTTCACATTTATTGCTTTCTTTGATGCTTTTCAATCAATTTGACTCTAATTTAAGCTATTTACTTGTCCTTGAGTTCCTTTCGCATCATTTTCATTTAAGTTGATCGTATAATAGTAAAAGTTTAGCTTCCATCAAGACAGTACTGATGTTTAGGGCTGGTTAAATAGTGAAATTTCTTTCACTCTTAACGGTTCAATATGTTGGATTGCTTTTCCTATCTTATTCAGATGCCCTATTTATCTACTCTAGCATGTTTGGGGAGAAAATTGATTGTTTCATTGCGAGATTCATTATAACTTCAGACTTTTACAACGAAAACAAAAATTAGTCTTTTTATAAGACTTTTACAAAATGAAAACAAAACAAAAGTACAATTCTCTTCAAACAAACGCAGAGATCGTTTATCGGTCTTCTGCTTGCGTGGGATCTTGGCCTGTGACGGGGACGTTGATATCCGTGGACCACCGTCGATCAGATCTAATTGCTGAAAAATTGGGCAGAGCTTCGTCGATTCGCGAAGGAATCAAGAAGCCGTAGCGCCTATCTCGGCAACAGCGAGATAATTGTTCTTCTTAAGATCACCACAACGGGGTAATCTTAAGGGACGAACACGAGAACTGCAGATCTAACGAGCTCTTCTTCTTTATTCCGACGAACTCGATCAGATCTCTACTCCTCCTCCTCTCTGAAATTCGTGCACTTTTGATCTTCAATCCGGTAGGGCTTCGCCAACGCTCGAGAATTCCAGATCTCTAAAAATGAAGGCCCTGGGGCTGTATTTATAGGCTTCAGGAGCCCTGTGTTTGGATAGGAACGGTTGATTCCCTCCTATCTTCAGTTATAACCATTTTATCACATTTAAAGATAACCCCAAAGCAGTTAGGGAGGCTCTAGAACCGTAACCCGTCAAAAACACGTCCCGAGTGCGAGACAGTTCGGGGTGTCTCGCACATGTGCGAGACAGTTTGTACCCTCTTCAGTATTTTGGCTCTACTTCTTTCATCTGATCTCAGAATGAAGTGATTCAAGTTATGTTGGAAAGATAAAGAAAAGATCTATAACTTTTATCTTTTAATATTCTTCAGATTAGAATCGCATCATGGTCAAAACAGCTTTACAATGTCCGAGAACTTTTATCTTTTAATATTCTTCAGATTAGAATCGCATCATGGTCAAAACAGCTTTACAATGTCCGAGACACTTGTGAGTATCTCGGGTATTTTGACCATAACTTCCTCATATGACCTCCAAATGACCTGATTCAAGATGTATTGGAACGTTAACAAGGAGATATATAAATTTCATGTTTTGAGTTTCTTCATATTCGAATCGAATCATGGCCAAAATCGTCATTCTTCTCCGAGACACCAACACTGTCTCGGAGTTTGTACTATCTTTGGTATTTTGGCTTTATCTTTCTCATATGATCTTCAAATGACCTGATAGAAGATGCATTGGAAAGATAACGAGGAGATATACAACTTTCATGTTTTGAGTTTCTTCAGATTCGAAGTGAACCATGGCCAAAATCGCTCTACAAAGTCTAAGACACATTTGGATGTCTCGGCTTGGCCGAGACACTCATGGGTGTCTCGGCCAATCCGAGACACCTCTGGGTGTCTCGACTTGGCTGAGACACCTTAGAGTGTCTCGGCCAAGCCGAGACACCTTTGGGTGTCTCGCCGAGTCCCGGGACGTAGTCCTGCGCGTTCCGTCCGTTTTCACCGTATCTTCGTCGTCCGAACTCGGAATCATGCGATTCAAGATGCGTTGGAAAGCCATCGAGAAGATCTACAAGATCCCATAATTGAATCATATGTGAAGTGGACAAGACATGAGAGGCTCTCCGCCTTTTTGCAAGCGATGCGGGGTTCCCGATCAGCTCGTGTTTCCGTCATTCCGAAGTTCCATCGTTTCGCATGGTCCGTCGACTCACTTCATGTGTTTGTCATCATCAAATGATCTCCTGTGACTCAAATAGTGACATTCATAATCTTCTCTGTCTCGAGCCGTGTGCGGGGACCTATAGGTAATTTTTAACGCCTACAGATACCCCCTCCAAAGTGTTTCAGTCTCGTTCTTTTATAGACGAGCCTGAAATACTTTGGATATGATCGGTCCAACCTTCAATCAGTGTAAAAGGACCTGTTGTTAGCTTTGATTCTTGACTCCTTCAATTTTCAATCTATTCGATGTTTTGACGAATAGCTGAAGTTCTCCCGGCGCTGCGTTTATCGTCTAGCCGTCATCAAAATCTTGAATCTAAACCGATGAGTTGATTTTGGCTCGTATCATCGAGTTGACTTTGAACTGACTATCTCCATCACGATATATTGATTCGCATTGACTTTCATCGTAACGCATTGACTAGTGTTGACCTAGGGTTACGCGTTGACCGAGGGTTTCGGATCGTCTGCTGTTGACTTTTGTATCACAACGCGTTGACTGGCGTTGACCTAGGGTTACGCATTGACCGGCATTAACCTAGGGTTTCGGATCGTTTGGCGTTGACTTTTTTGTCGCAACGCGTTGACTGGCGTTGACCTAGAGTTACGCGTTGATCGGCGTTGACCTAGGGTTTCGGATCGCCCGATGTTAATACAGTTTATACTCGTACGTTTGTTGGAGTATACACAGTTTAAGCTCTTAAGGTATTGGAGCATGACGGTCCCAAATGTTGGGGCTACAGGACCAACTGTTAAAGCTGATTCATCTACATGTGTGGACCTTATCTTGGTGTTGTTGAATACTCGGGTCACGAGACCAACTAATGGAGCTGGTGCGTCAATGACTCGTATTTATAGAATTTTTGGCAAATTCTCAGCCATCAACAGGTTTGATGAGCCTTTACCGACTACCGTTTGAGTCGGGCTAGCATGCAGATTGTATAAATTAGTTCCGCATGTGACGTTAAGCTAAAAGAGTTAACCCTTTTAGTGCTACGATATTGAATACGTAGACTTCATCTTTCTCCTGTGAAAAGACTAAACAGCGACGTGTATCAGACGTTGACTTAGGATTTTTGGCAAATCCTCAGTCCTCAACGGATTTGACGTGCTCTTACCGATTACCGTTTGAATCGGGCTTACATGCGGATTGTCTTAAGTCCGTTCCGCATGTGACGTTGTGCTAAAGGAATGAACTCCCCATGTGACGTTGTGCTAAAGGAATGAATTCCCTTAGACTTGATGCTACGATATTGAATACGTAGACTTTATCTTTGTCACGGGAATAGACTACCCAGTAACGCGTGTTAGGCGCTGACTCATCCTTACTTAGGATTCAGGATAAAAGTCCCCAGACTGGAATTATGGTGTCTTCTTCAATCGGTGAAAGACTAAACCGGCAACGCGTGTTAAAAGTTGGCTTACCCCTGCTTAGGATTCAGGATAAAATCCCCCGTGCGTGTGAAGCACGGATTATGGTGTTATTAATAACAACCTGCCACAATGTTGAATATTTAGGTTTTTATTTTTTTTATGGTTAAAGACTAACCGGCAACGCATGTTAGGCGCTGACTTATCCCTTCTTAGGCTTCGGGATAAAATTCCCCAGACTGAAATTCTGGTGTCTTCTTCAATCGGTGAAAGACTAAACCGGCAATGCGTGTTAGGCGTTGGCTTACCCCTACTTAGGATTCGGGATAAAACTCCCCGTGCGTGTGAAGCACGGATTATGGTGTTATTAATAACAACCTGCCATAATGTCGAATATGTGGGCTTTTGTCCTTTTTACGGTTAAGGACTAACCGGCAACGCGTGTTAGGCGCTGACTTATCCCTTCTTAGGC